GTATAATGTTGTATTAGTATTATTATTTATTTACGACTAATTTATTACTTAGTTATTAAATGATAATCAAAATTTTTGTGTGCTGTTGTTCACTTATCTTACCAGTGGTGCATTTTTGCACCATCTCATATCTCAAAAACAATTTTTTGTTTCAAACACCTGTATACATTTTTATACTCTTCATTCCATCTTATTTTAAGCAAAAGTATAAAAAATTAATTTTTTTAAACATAAAGCAGCTTGGGACTAAATGGGTTAATGGGTATGTTGCTGTATAAGTTGGTAATATCAAAAGAGATCAAAGTGAAATTTCGTGGATATTTTAAATTTCGTAAGGTGTCGATCAAATCGTAACGGTAGTCTGCTTTAAATTGGATAGTGTTTCTGAAATATTGTATCATGAATTTAGCGATGTTATATGTGCTACAATTAACAGATGATATAATAGGCCTGATAGGAAAATTATTTTTATGCAGTTAATTTCGATCTGATCACTAATAATTATAATCAGCGGATTTTTTTCTAATTGCGGTATAAAATTAATCGCTCGACATAGATTATCCTCAGTTCAATATTAATCTTAAATGGTATTGCATACAGTGTATTTTTGTGTTCAAGTTTTGTAATAAATAAACAAGATAAGATAACTTAACTTTTACAGTTAATTCATGCATAGAATGTTCTACGCAATCAAGAGGTGTTGAGAAATCGAGTCCCTGACATTTTGAATTCGGAATTGGAAACCGAATCTTAAAAAATCAGAAAATTAAGGAGGAACGATAAATATTTACTGTTTCGTGATTACCGAGTTTTTATTACTTTGGTTAAAAAACATGTTGGGATCATTTACGAATTACTTACTTATTTTAATGATAATTACTGGACATAATCAAATTTCCTGTGAGAGTATGTTAAACGGGGAATAATTTGGTTTTATATGTCTTACGTAAATAAATAATTTTTAGGTGTAGATTTATATTGGAGAGATTACAATGGAACAATTCCCTCAGATGCGTACCCTGCAGGGAACGATATTTATATAGGCCAAACACTTAATTTGCCATACATGCAAGTAGGAGGTCTTCTTCCTGGAGGGTTGTATCCAGACCGACATATGGTTATAGTTGAAGCACATGGTAAAAGACAAGAACATAACAAAAATATTAAAGTAATAGGATCTTTCAGTTGCTTGTTTATTTATTAAAAAAGATCTTTGTATGCATTTGTAGGTTTTATGTACTTCTACACCATATTTATTAAAATGGAAATGGATCAATACGCGTGACTTGAAACCTAATTTGTCGGAGAATTGCGTTATAGGTGGATATGAAGGTGACCGTTTGCTGTTTATTGGAAAAATTTTTCACGACGGTGAATGGAAAATTGGAAAAGTATTCCCACCCTCAAACGACCGCAATGGATTGAGAATCTGGACTAAAGAGGGAATAGCATTTCGCACTCAAGATTTTCAGATATTGATGAGCGTTAATCAAACAGAATTATAAAACAAAATAAAACTTGCATCAATTCTCCTATTATTAATTTACTTTAGTGCGAATTCTCATCAAAATAATATTAAAAATATTTTAATTAATGATGGGTTTTTGATGTTTTGGCGAGTCACAAGCAAAAAAATAATTTTTGCACCAAATTAAAGTTTAAATCTTCTTCTATCAGAATATACAAAAGTTATTAAAAAGACTTTACTAAAACATTTTTTATTAATAATGCGTTTTTATTGGTTTTTTTATTTTTTTGTGAAAGTCATCAATCTCACAAAAAAATGATAAAATTGAAAAATCCTCCATGTCATATTTACGAAAGCTATAAATACTAAAGAGTAGTGGTTTATATAATTTACTCTTTTTTAGAATTAAAATACAAAGATAGACGTGTTGTCTTGTTAAATGCTTGTGGATTTACATCGAAATATCAACAAAATGGTAACATAGCAATTTGGGTAATTTGATAAAAGTTATAATTTTTATGTGAAGGTTGTTGACAAAACGCAAATTAAATTTTAGTTTTTGCTTTAATATTCCTGTTTGAACTGAGCGTTTTGAGTCGTTTCTTACTTTACGAAGTAGTTTTTATCGCGAGTATTCTTTTTATTGCGGAAATTAGCATGTCTATAACGACTTGCGCTAGTGTGTTATGTGGAAGAACCCGCCGCAATTCTCGTGGGTTGCGAATGTTTCGTTTTCCCGCGTCCGATAAGGAAATATGTGAAAAATGGATCGAGAATTCCGGTAAGATTTTAATTTTTAAGGTGCAGATAAATCTTTAATTACGATATTAAGTAATTTTCAAGTGGGGAGTATATTTATATTTCATTGCTACTATATTAAAAAAAATCACACAAAGTATGATTTATTTGTTTAAATTAGGAAACTCCCCCCTTAAAGTCTTCAACTCTTAACTATTTAAGTAATAAAATTAAACTGAAATGTTATCTATTGACTATTTAACATTCAAATGCATTTAAATATGTTATTCAAAATTTAATAAGATCAGATAAAATTACTATTTACTGAACTTTCTATTTTCACTTTAGGAAATTTGGATTTACTAAGTTTATCTCCAAAGTCCTTAGGTAAACGATCAATTTGTGAATATCATTTTCAAGCACAAGATATTTTTAATAAAAAATTATCAAATTATGCCATTCCTTTGCCTTACACCGATGCTTGTCCAACGGAAATTGATGGAAACGAACCATTAACATACAGTGACCAACCATCAACATCCAAAACTAGATCTCCAAACTCAATGACATTACAAGAGGTTAGATTCCTTACACCTACCAAAAATATTGAAACAAATGATAGTGGTCCTGATAAATTACCACTAATGGATATTTCCAATTTTCCGACACCGCCTTCACATAAAAGGAAAAGGGAAGAACTGAAGCGAACATAAAAGTTAAGGTCAAACTTTGCAATTCCTCGCGAATTGAAACAGTTACCAACATTCAGTAGATCGCTATGTTCGATGCAACTGTATCATAAAAAAATGAAACCATTCACTATTGATGAGAAAGCTACCGCTATATCATTATATTATAAATCACCCTCAGTGTATAAATTCATGAGGGAAAGAGGTGTGATTCTACCATCACCTTCAATAATAAGAAAATGGTTATCTCAGTACAATATGAAAACGGGATATAACAAAGGTATATACAAACAGTTAAAAATTAAATTTGATACTATGAGTAGTAAAGATAAGGAATGTATACTTACCTTTGATGAGATGAGTATTAAAGAAAAATTAGAATATTGTAAGAAGACTGGAAGTATAGATGGCTTTGAGGATCTTGGGGAACTGGGAAGAAAGCCAATTGCGGCTAAACATGCTTTAGTATTATTAATTAGAGGTGTATATTGTAATTGGCAAGCCCCATTATCGTTTTCTTTAACATCAAGTGGGGTGGGCGGCGAAGATTTAAAAAAAATTATTTGTCACACTTTAACGATGTTAAAAAAAATAAACGTTAAACCTATTGGTATTATTTGCGACCAAGCTACGACGAACCAAAAACTATACAAACTTTTAAAAGTAACAATAAATAAACCCTATTTTTTGTGGACAAAAGAAAATATTTTGCTATATTTGATCCGCCTCACTTATTAAAGAGTTTGCGAAATAATTTGCTTAGCGGAGATTTTATATGGAAGGAAAAAAGAATTTCATTTAATGATATAAGAAAGCTATTTGATTTAGACCAACAAAGCGACACTGGGAAAGCTTTAATAAAAATAAATGAACAGCATATAAACCCAAATACATTTCAAAAAATGAGCGTAAAATTAGCTGCACAATTATTTAGCCATAGTGTGTCTGCTGCAATGCAAACAGCTATCGACACTAAAGAATTAAGCACGAATACTTGTTCAGCAACAGCGGAATTTATAAAAATAGTGGATAATGCCTTTGATGCATTGAACAGCAGAAATTTACAAGATAAAAAACCTTGTAAAACGGCA